GAAGCACAAAGGGTGAATAGAAATGTCATTTCAAGTATTTTTTCAGCCTTTGTGCCAGAGAAATTTAAGATAGGAAAAAGGCCAACTTCTTTTCATCTTTAACTCACAGGTGGAATTATTCGACTATCATATGGTTCCTAGATCTTTCTGGAATTTATTAGAATGAAACCTGAACCACCTTACAAATAAAATGTTTTACTTCAGAGAAAGTTAAATTATATAAAGGCACATTCTTAAGAAACATTTAAATATAAAACATCTATAACTTCTTGACCTGAATCTTAAAAGTCTGAGATTTAACTTTGTTTTACTTTTCTTTCCTTTCTTTTCTTTCCTTCTAGTTTCAATAAATGAATTCCCATGAATGTAAAATCAAAGATCTTCATTATTCCATTAAATAAATATGTCTTAATGTTTGGTTTTTCCATTCTTTGTCAGTACAACAATTTGATTAGCTCTTTTCTTCCTCCTAAAGAAACTTACATTTTTTTTTTTACTTTCTTTTAATTTATCCACTAAAATCCTCTTAATTTACCTATTACCAATATCTTTACTTTTACATAATTTTGTTGCCCGTGTTTCAGTATTAAATGAACAATTAAAGCAAACTCTCCCTAGTTACCTGGAGAAAAGCAACAAAATAAATACTAGAGCTAAAGCATAGAGAAGAACCTGGTAATGCCAACCAAATTTTCACAACCACAGGTAATTAGTATAATATAATGGAAAAAAGCCTTGTTTTAGAAGTAAAGAAAATCAACTGATCCTAGGCACTTTCTATTTGGTTCAATTTTCACATCTGGAAAATGAAGTTTGATATGTTTCATTACATTTAAATCCTTTTCAATGCAAACATTCTATGGAATCTTTACTTTTCCATCATCAGGAATTGGCAAGAGAGTATAAATATTCAAACGGGATTTGAGTGAGATGTAGCTGTGCCTTGTGTCACTTCATTTCATGGTAAAGATTGATGCTGGAATTTTCCTGGGTCAGTCACATTAAAATCTCTCCTAACCTTCAAGGCCAGCTTCCTGAATTCTCGTATCAGCAACTTCTGCTATTCCCATGTAATACCAAAAGATATGTAAAATAATATGTCATGTTATAGTTCTTATGATTATTAGAGTAAGTGACAATTGGCAACACCATATTTAGTACAACTTGAAGCTGCACATTCAGTTAAAGGTAGAGCCTTCCATGGCCAAATGTACTTTGGTCAGAAATACATAAACATTGAAAACCAAGCTATCATCTTGCAAGTAACTCATATTCCCATGAATCTCTAACTGCAAATGGAAATATCAGCTAAAACTAACCACTTCACATAAATGAATAAGCTCAGGCACAACAATTACAAGATTTGTCTATGGCCATGAAATGAAGCAGACAGAGCCTGCCTCAGAATTAGAATGACTACCATCAGACTTTGAGTCTAGGGTTATTTCCCCTATACAGCACTTCGACAAAAATAAATCCAGCTGGGGCAAAAGCATCCAAGACAGAAAATAATAGTCAGCTGGAGACTCTTTGGATGCAAAGTACAAAATATTCAAGTACATATTTCCAATCCCTTCATTCTCTCCTATAACAATTGGAGTTAATCCCTGCCAGTCAAATGCTAGTTCTTCAACTATGGCAATCAATAGAATAGATTAGCTGTGGAAACCTTCCATCCCTATTATTCTTGCTTTCCTTTATAGATGGAATTTTCATTCACCATAGTGTAAGCAAGCATGTGAGGTTTTTCCTTCCATACATAAATATAAACTCATTAGACTTCAAGCTTGTCCCTTTAGAATTTTATACACACACACACACACA